TGGTCTGAAAAGGTAGAAGAGTAGATAATTATGTCATCTAAATATACCTCGCAATAGCGGGACCTTATTCCATTCAGGACTCTATTCATCAGGCGTTGAAAGGTTGCAGGTGCATTTTTCAACCCGAATGCCATTACTAAAAACTCGTAGAGTCCTTCGCTAGTAATGAAGCTTGTCTTGGCCCTATCGCTCTCTTTTACCGGTACTTGCCAGTACCCTGACGACAAATCCAGTGTAGTAATGAATTTGGCCTTTTTTAGCGAATTCAACAAGTCTGAAATGATAGGTAAAGGAAATTTATCTGTTACTGTTATACTATTTAACTTACGATAATCTACACACAGTCTCCAGTCTCCCGTCTTCTTCTTTACCATCACTACAGGAGAAGCCCATGGCGAATTGGAAGGTCTGATTATCCCTTCTCTGAGCATTTCTGCTATTTGCCTTTGCATTTCCTTTTGCTTTACAGGCGAATACCTATACGGTCTGCTCGAAACTGGTGGGGCATTCCCCGTCTCGATGGCATGTTCTACGTAGTTGGTGAGTCCAGGTTGGTCACTAAAAATATGCAAGAATTTATTCAAAACAGTTTTTAGTTTTGTTAAATTTTCTCCTTTCAATGGCGTCTGCAATTCCTTTAAGTCGCATTTAATACCTACCCCTGCATCGGGGATAGCAATTTCCATTTCTAAGTTACGAAAATCCAACAATACCTTATATTTTTGTAGGAAGTCTCTTCCAAGCAGGCATGGAAGTAAGAGTCCGTCAATCACAACGAGTTCATGGGGCAATAAGGTACCATTTAATCGAAGATTGGCCATAAATCTGCCCTTTGTTTTATAGTACCTGCCCTTTATGGCTAATTTAATGTCAGGGCCTGGGCGAAGAATTATCCCCGGGGATTTTCGAATAATTTGGCGCCATATGTCCGCACTTATTAGTGAATGGTCTGCACCAGTGTCAATTCTAGCTTTAGTCATTAAATCGTTAATAATTAATGTTAGTTCTGGTAAGTTTGTTTTAGTTTTTAGTATTAGCCCCAGTTGAGAGGGTTTTTCATACCTCGAGGACCAAGCCTCCCTTCTTGGCCTCGGTATTAATGTTGTATATATATATATATATATATATATATTTATTTATTTATTATATTTTTTAGAGCTTTTTTACATGTATGGTGGATAAGTCTCGAATGGTAGGTATTGCATGAATTTTTAATTACTTATCTTCTTAAACGAAGTATTAAGAAAAATATGCATGTGAATTCAATTTCAAATAATGTTACATTCAATTTAAAATATAGGTCAATGACACAAACTATAAGAAAATTGAAGAACATACAGTAAGTTATACAATTTTTCTACATATAAACAATAATATATGGAGATATACCTAAAAATAATTGATTTCTTATCATCTTCCATGACTTCACATTGGTTTCTTATGTTTTCATCACAAGAAAAGACACAATTGGCAGCAAAAACATTTATTCAAACTTTGTCATATGTTTCGGCACATAAGCCCTCATCTGAAAAACAACAAAGTTCACAGTTAGGGTACTTCTAGTGGCAAAAAGCTAAGTAAACAAACCAATGCCATTCTTTGATTAATGTGTATATCATTCGTTACGTAGCTGGAGGGCGTAGCTATAGTATGTGTGTAGCTATCAAATCAGATATCTCCGGGTCCTCTCTCAAAAATCTTTTGAAATATAACATAATATATGTACAAAAAGATACGAAAATACTCCAAAATTAAACGTTAAAAATTACATATTTTTCAAAATATATAAGTAATAAAAGATAACTGCGTTATATGAAACAATGGGCAGGAATCCCTGACCTCCTCTAAATAAGGGTCTGATGCAGCTACTTAGAAAAATTTTTAAATGTTTCTGATGCTGATGTGAGTCTTAGTTTTTTTTTTGAGATTAAAACATAAGGAACGACTGATTTCAGACATTGTTTTATATCTTCTATATATTTTAATATATTAATTGAAAATGAGTTTCTGTTTGTTCAACTTAGTTTGAGTAAACGACTAGGGGTAAAAATATGTTTCAGGTATCAAATTAAAGCTCTTATCCTATAGGTGATGCCGCCGAAGAGAAATTTGAGAAAGGTACAATAATTCAGGCGTGGCGAAGTGGCAAATGCACAATTTAAGTCTACGGGACAAACATATCGAAGGACACTCCCTGTTAACATTAACCCGAGCAAATTTTTTTCTTATGTAGTTTCATTATTGTAAACACCGAGGTCGATAAATGTACATATTAGATCATTGTGGCCCATCAGTGGCAGAGAACGGTTCCGTTCTCTGAACACTGGAAGTTCAGTCGTGGGTTCGCGCTCCGCTCGGACAGGCTGGCCACGTGGAGTTTTCCGGGGTTTTCTCCACGTCCGTAAAGCCTGAATAGGGGCCAGTTATCCTTAAAAGATCTCCCGGAAGGAATTATCATAACAACACAAACGACTATTGATAGACGACAAATGTGTCACACTTTTCAAGGAGGCGAAGTACATTGAGTAGCTCATAGCCAAGACAAGATCACCGTTTTCTTTATAACTCTCTCCCAACTCAACCTCACTAAGCCGCTTCCTCTTAAAAGCCGAAGTAACGTCGGCATACGCAGCTACTGTATTGTTGTTAATTGCAAAAGTTCATAAATATAAAATTTTATATGTATGCCAATATAAATAATTATTCTTTTTTCAGGAAAAATGTAAAGAAATATTAAAGAACAAAACACAGGTATATTTTTATTTTATTCGTTTGGAAACAATAAAATAATTAATTATTTACACATTTTTAAAATAATTTACAATTCTTACAATTTTTTAAAGGAAATAATAGCTACGGATTGCAGTAACGAAGGAATAAACGTAGCTGAAAAGGTAAATGTTTATCGCAATAAATTATTTTATTTTTCAAAACAAAATTAAATTTAATATTTACTTTACTTTTTATAGATGAAGATATGCTGGGAAGAAGCAAAGCGTAAATGGGTAAGAAAATAATATACAGTCAAATCGCTTTAGCAGAAGAGTATTGTTGCAGAGAGATTTATTTTTGCAGCGAGTGTTTTTAAAAAATTAAAGCTGGCACAAGTTCTTGCTCTTCTTTCCTGGCACTCGAACAGGAGGTTAAGCTGTGTTCTGCTACATAAAAAGCTCCGTGTTAATTAATACAGTACATTCCACCTTTACCATCTAATCGAAAACCATCGTTAATTAAACGAGCTGTCCTGTTTTCCTTCAGTTATGTAATGTTAAAATTACGTTCCAGAAAAAAAAATAGTCATATAATACCACACAGAGGTTATCACAGAGGCATTTTAATAATTATAATATTAATTATAAAATGGGGCCTACTGCATGCCAAATTAGTGAAACCACTGACAATAGAAGTTGGTCTCGAGTTGACGAATGGTCAACGTCCTGGCCACGTGAAGTTTTCGGGCTTTTTTCACGTGTCCAACACATAAATAAAGGTTAATATTCCGAAGAAAGTCCTTCCGGTTGGCTTGATAGATCGACCAAGTATGGCATGCCTTATTCCATCAATCAAATCGTAAAACCTGTGATTGTAAATATAGAGGTGGTAAAGCACGTAATTACACTTACTAATGAATTAACGAATTGCATTACATAAATTGCACAATTAAGTTTAATTAGTATTATTATGGATTTTTAAGTAAATGATTATTTTCAAATTTGAAATTAATTTTATTTTTAAAAATTACTTTTTACTTTGCACCACTTCCATTTTCATTACAATAACTTTTTTTTTTTTAATCTAAAAGTTAACTGCAAAATACATTTGTGAAAATAAAGAATTATATTTGAATTTTTTTTATGTTTTCAACTTTTAGTTGCCCAATGCTACATTTAGTTTTTATTTAACTATTTAAATTTATATAAATATATTACTGTTAAATAAATATAATAAATGCATTAAAATGATTTCGTATTCCTTAACAGCAAGAACGGATGAAGGGCCGAGGGCAAGACCAGTGGGTCGGCCATGGGCAAGGCCAGTGGGTCGGCCATGGGCAAGGCCAGTGGGTCGGCCAAGGGCAGGGCCAAATGCCGACCGTTTTAAGTGACAAACTACAGCACTAGGACATCCAGGATGGAATCCGGACGGGAGGAAAGAATTAAAAAATAAACCAAAGATTTATAAATTCAAATGCTAAGACTATCTTCAAACGTAATTCAAAATAACCTTAAATGGATTCGAAGTTTAATAATTTTAAAAATATATTGTTAGCACCCTACAATTTTTAAATAGATGATTATTTAATTGATATTTAAATCAATACATAAAGACAAATTGGTAAAGTTTGCAAGTCGAAACGTGTTGATAATAAAAATATTTCTGTCAGTATGGCTTTCTTTTTTGTTTAATGTGTAAGTCAACACGTAAGCGTATTAGTAGATGCTGACATGTGTACACTTATATAATGCTCACTGCTGAAACAACTTTCTGCTCAAATTATTGATAGGTTAACGTGAGACACGCGTATTCAAGAGAGCAGAGGAAAAATATCTAGCTCCTTGACCATAAAATGAAGATAATATTAATATTGTTACGCACAAAGATGGATATTCAATTAACATAGACAGTAGCCACATTTTCGCCCATTAGTAGTAGTTTCGACCCACAATACGGTTCATCAACATGAGATTGGGAAGGGAAACATCTTGATCATTACTATCCATAATAAGTTGTGAGACTTTAGTGGATTCGAATCTGGTTTTTGGTTGAAACTTTATCACACAGCCTTCTGGAAAAATTAGCTCATCTAAATTACATTTGGCAGCCATTACAGATTTTTGATATACCCAAGATGGAAAACGCTGGGCTGAGGAAGCACGTAGTGGAATAGAAATTTTGTGGAGCCGGGTGGTGATGGTAAAAGCCCTACGTATCCGAGATCATCCCCGAGAATTTCCCCTGGCTTTTCGATCTGTTTGTGAATTTTCAATTTTAGCATGCCCCCGTTTCAATGGGAAGGGTTTTCTACCAATAGCAGGAAGACGTGGATGGAGTCAGAACTCTGACGTAGTTCATACCCTTTACCGCTGAAGAATATATTTTGGGATTTTACTTAATTAAGACACAAAAGTTAATATTTATACGAACGTTTTTTAGAATATAACTTTCCGAATAAACCAGTGGCCGAGTGAATAAAACCACAGAACACTGGTCATTAGTAATCATGGGTTCACGCTAAGTTTTCCGGGTTTTTTCACGTTTGTAAATAAGAACCAGTTTCTGAAAAAAGTCCTCCCGGAATACATTCCCTCAATAGATAGTCAAGGTGTCCACGTTGTCTTTACCAAATAAACCGTAACAGCAAAATGGACGTTATGCATTGTGGTTACGTTAATTAAATAGAAGAAGACCATCATCGAAAATGTAAATCGCAGGTTAAAACGATCTCTTAGTCAAAACATTATTTCAAATACACCAAATGCAAAAGGTTGCACTTAATCCAACTAATCTCACTAAAATTGGGTTATCTTAAATATGTTTAATGTTAAAATAAAATGTTAATGTTTATATTTGTGTTTAATATAAACTTCTGACATATAGTAATCTGGATCTATAAATTTCCTTATTAGTAGCGCACTCAAATTGTAATTTTGGGGGAGCAGAGCTGAACAGATAAAAAATTCTTAACGCGAATTCAAGAAAATTCCCACTTTATGTGACCATCAATTCATACGTATTATAGAAATAGAAGGCAGAACAATATAACTAAAAATATTTTTTAATTAGGAAAAGATTTTTGGAAACTTTTCTCTTTTTACTTCGGTGATACCAGGACCTCTTGGTCAACCTCTAGGTGGGCCACTGTACCCTATCCTAACAAAATCGTGCTTTTGCATATACTATTCTTTACAAAAGTGTACAATTTTACATTTAAAGATTGGAGCTTCGAATAGTATTGTCAAGATATAATTTTTAAAATGCAATAACAAATTAACATTGTTATGGTGTAATAATCGCAAGTAAAGATAGAATAAACAATACAGAAGCCGAAGTTGAATAATTAATTATGGATGATAAATTTNTCGAAGATGGCGGCAAGTTTAGGAATCATTTTAGAAATATTATCGGAATTAGATTCAGAATCCGAGGAAGAAGAATTAATTTTGGTTAATTATTTAACACAATATAAAAGTAAGAAAAAAAAGAAATCGGTATGCAAAATAACTAACTATGTTTCAGAGGCTGAAGTTTTTAGATATGTCTCGCATGGACTTAATGGTAGAACTTATAGCTGCGCGTTGTATTTTACATAATATTTGTGTTCTACAGAATGTTGAATCAGTATGGAGTAATGATGAAGAGAGAGTAGAAAATGGAGTGCAAATAACAGAAGTGGAAGAAAGTGTGGCAGAGGAGATAACATATGAACAAGACCGAGAAATGGGATATTTAAAGAGAGAGCAGATATTGTTAGAAATAATGTCACAAGCAAACAGATACAGAATAAATTAATCAGCTCCTCAATTCATATTTTTCTAAACTAAATTCATTAGTGAAATTATGTANGAAGGCAGAACAATATAACTAAAAATATTTTTTAATTAGGAAAAGATTTTTGGAAACTTTTCTCTTTTTACTTCGGTGATACCAGGACCTCTTGGTCAACCTCTAGGTGGGCCACTGTACCCTATCCTAACAAAATCGTGCTTTTGCATATACTATTCTTTACAAAAGTGTACAATTTTACATTTAAAGATTGGAGCTTCGAATAGTATTGTCAAGATATAATTTTTAAAATGCAATAACAAATTAACATTGTTATGGTGTAATAATCGCAAGTAAAGATAGAATAAACAATACAGAAGCCGAAGTTGAATAATTAATTATGGATGATAAATTTAGCTTTGATTCAAGTGCCAGCGAGGTAAATTACAACGTTAATTAATGTACTATCTGATAGTATACTATTTATTTACTTATATATTCAAGTATTAGTATATTCGATTTATCGTTAATTATTTTCATTTAAATTTTAATTTCATGTTTTTAACGGTTTCTTTGTCAAACTCTCGATAGTGCTGCCACTTTTCGTACGTTTTTACATTCACGTAAATNATTTTACATTTAAAGATTGGAGCTTCGAATAGTATTGTCAAGATATAATTTTTAAAATGCAATAACAAATTAACATTGTTATGGTGTAATAATCGCAAGTAAAGATAGAATAAACAATACAGAAGCCGAAGTTGAATAATTAATTATGGATGATAAATTTGGCTTTGATTCGAGTGCCAGCGAGGTAAATTACAACGTTAATTAATGTACTATCTGATAGTATACTATTTATTTACTTATATATTCAAGTATTAGTATATTCGATATATCGTTAATTACTTTCATTTAAATTTTAATTTCATGTTTTTAACGGTTTCTTTGTCAAACTCTCGATAGTGCTGCCACTTTTCGTACGTTTTTACATTCACGTAAATTCTTTCATATACATTAGACTCGTTATAATATGTAATAGAGGNAAAAAAAAATATATATAAATATAAAATAAGTCTATTACTGTTTACAAATATTTTTAAACCCATTCAAATGCAAACCATTAATTACATATCCAGCAATAACATAACATGGGCTTGCCCCACTTTCAAAATCAACGACTCAATTGATGAGCTTTGTGAAGATTTCACGAATGTTTCTTGTTCTGTCATTTAAGAAACTGTTAGTGAATGTCTTCAATACAGGTTCCAAGAATGTTGACATCAGAACACAAACAAAAGAGAATGACTGCTTCTTGAGCATTTCTCAATTGCTACCATATATAAGGAGACAAATTCTTAGATTGTACTGTATAGTGATGGGAAATGTGAGACTGGTGTCTCGCTACACCCTGTGACTAAACGACATTCCCTCAAATTGCACAACTTATCTTTTCCGGCCAAACCCAAAAAGTTCAAACAGGCACCTTCGAACACAAAACTCGTGGCTATGGTTTTTTTGGGACCAGAGAGGCATTCTTCTGATCGATTATCTGCCTCGGGAGAAACATACTGCAAAACCTTAAGAGTTACAGTGCACTATACAGAACTGTCCTACCTGCTTACTAAGGGAAATGTCTGCTCTACAACAAGTCATCCTCATGTTGCTCAAAACAGCTGCAAAAGTTTTGATGGGCAGTATTAAGCATCTACCATACGGTACAACAACAACCAGTTTTGAGGAAAAGGCAAGAGTTCAGCAAAGAGACAGTCAAGCTTGTCTCACGACATCAGCGGGGATTACATAAACAGTTTAAGACATTTCTGTCAAAAAGATTTTGAGTTACAATAAATCATCACCATTTTACGAAAAAACAATTCATTCGTACTTTTAAAACAACCCTTGTATTTCGTAACAAAACTACAACACAAAGAAAGAACAAACTGGAAATCTCAAAGACACAGTCGCCAGACTCTGATGACGTGCAGTGGGAGACATTTTAAGAGTGAAGGACCACAGAAGACCTCCAAAACCACAATTGGGGAGCCACCGATGGAGAGTCGGGACTTCCTGCAAGAAAGCTGGCAATGGAACAACCTCCACCTGTCTACCCGACCGCAAGGGCAAGACTGCCAAGTATGCCCAAACGAAACATTATTTTAGACACATTTCAAGACGGGCACGGGATAAGCACGAAGAAAACCATTTATCCGGAAGCCAGAGGGGTAAATTTAATCTTTCCAAATAACTAGATTTATTAGTGTCATCTTCATGGTTTTTACACGGGCTTTGCAGAAGTCTTCGTAAAAAGTTCACCATTTTGCCAGGAGGGGAAATTCAATAGAAATTGATATCCGTCGATGAATTTCCCGCTAATCTGCTCCCGTTACGTAAAATAAGCCAAGTTAACAGTTAACACCGAATGTCAGAAAAATGTAAACACAAGTGGTTCTCGTTAGGCTTCCCACCGTTATTCGACGTTTCGACCGAGAAAAATGTGAACTTTGACCTCCGATCTTTCGCCAGAATGCATTCGATTTATCGTTAGAGGGTCGATAAATTCGCCTTCGAAAGCGGCAGAGTAAAACTCTTATTTAAAAAAAAAAAGTCTGGCTGACATTCCTATCGATTTTTACGCCGACCCGTCGACACCTTTCTAATTGATAAAGGTACGTCTGCATGTAAACCGGTAAAGAACCCGCGACTTTGCGCGTGAACAGAACACACCGACCAGTCGCAGGTTCTTACCCACTGCACGAACCCAAACGGAATCGTAGGTTTTCGCCGTTCCCGACCCCGTTTCTGGATTTTCCAGCGTGACCGAAGGGCCCCGGATCAGAGGCCGCAGTCGAGGGGCCCGGGGCCCCTCCGATCGCTTACCTAGAGAGTCGGCGGGGGACGTCTCGTCCATTATTTACTTATTCGAATTGGAGTTTTGTCAACTTCGTAAATACCGTCGCCATTTCTAACGCTTTACCGCCGGATGGCGCGATAAGGACGATCCGTTTTATAGCCCAATTTCCGATTTTTGTAATTCGATTAAAATAATTACGCCCAAATTTAAAAAAATTTAGCCAAAAAATATTTTTTATTTGGCCCGAAATTAAAATATAAAATATTAAAAATTAACAAAAATAAATAAAATTTATTTGGAATTTATATTAGGAAAGATAATTTCTTAATACGTTTTCGGCAAAATGAGGAATTTTATTTTTCCTATTTCTGCTGGAGAGTTCGGCAGA